CAGGTTTCGAATTTAACACAAGTTTGAATTCAATACAAGTTTGAATTCAATACAAGTTTGAACTTTGACACAAGTTTTAAATTCAATGCATGAAATGAGTTTGAATTTTGATGAGTTTTAAAATTTTCATAGGTTTTGAATTTTTTGACAATTTACTAATTTTGAGCCAATAAATATTACATTATTTTCAAATGATGACTTAAAAGATTTATTGCATAGAATTTAATACCTGGATTTGCCCTAAGGAGTAAACAAAAATTTGGGGTAAAAGATTAAATTTAAATGTAATTGAAAAATTGAAAGAAATGTTCCTGGCTGGTAATATAGAGAAAAGTAATAAATTCTCACCAGAAGATATGTTGAAGCAACTTGAAAAGCATGCCGAAAACAATGAAATAGAAGCTGATAATATTCCCACACTCCAACAAATTAAATCATGGATATCTCGTTTTAACCATCATCACAAAAAACAAGCTAGCTCTAATTAATGTAAAATTATTTTTCATATATTAAAATTGTTATTTAATGAAAAAACTGAATATTATATAATAAGAAGTGTTTTTAAATTACCTAAAGTCTTGATTTGGAATAAATTTTTTTATTTTTTTTATTTGTATATAAATATATATAAATATATAAATGTAATTTTAATAATAATAATAAAAATAAATTGTTATTTTAATAATGTACTTTTTATATGCGAATATATTTGTTAAACAAGCAAGTTGAATAAACCACCTACCTCCAAGAACACAGTTCTATCTGAAGTTTTTTTAATGTCACTGGGACACCTTGTTTTTTCTTTTTTATGATTGTAATTACAGAATTACAGAATTAGAATCCCAATATTTAATGTAATAAATGACGAACATTACATGTAAAAAACATGAAAATTCTCTAAATCCACAGGTACCGAAGAATATCTATTTTCTTTACTTAATTAAAGGCAATAAAAAAATCATTTATATATTCATTGGGATATGTTTTATCTGCACATCAAAAAAAAAATTATGCAGTGGAATAAAAGTATAGTACAACTTTTCATGCAAAGGTATTCGATTAGTCATTTTTGTATCCACCGATCTCTATGTATGACTCTCATTTATTCACAGATTGTCAATTAATTATTATTTGTAATGCTCAGTTGACCCAAATATTTATTTTATATTAATAAGCATAGTTTATTGGACAAACTAGAGTAAAAGTCATGTTATTTGTAATACCCCAAGAGGTATAAAAGGACTTGGTTTTAGACCAAGTCAGAATCATGTTCATAACAATCTTTTAATTATTGATCTAATAATTAATATTTCCTAATACACTGTAATAATAATATTATTATCGCTAATAAAACACATAACATATTTTACCCTAAAAATAACAACTTAATTAATTGATAAACCAGAAGGGGAAACCTTTGCTGTACCTAGCAAATAATCACCATTCTAATCATTGAGAAACATCTCAAGGGGACGCCTTTGGGATATAAATATAGAGAACCTAGGGAACCTTTTATCTGCAAAGATAAAAGTTATTTTTATTATTAATTTTTGACCATAAGTCAGCGAGTAGGCTGTGTGTCATATATAAATAAAGGAAATTGACCGTAAGTCAGTGAGTAGGCTGTGTATCAAACAATAGAATCAACCGTAAGTCAGTGAGGAGGCTGTGTTGAGCTATAAATAACCTATTAAATAGGAAACTCAGATTGCATGCTCGCAGTACCTCTTTCTAGAGAACCCTCATATATAGCATTAGTGATAAGATTTTAACACATAATAAGCCAAAAATGTCTTATAACCACCAAATACAGCCCCCAATCCAAAAGAGATTAATGTAAATGCTAATATAATTTAGGATGAATGCAGAGATCTCAATATTTTTATTCAGAGGCTACAGGATTCTAACCTAAACCAGAGGACTGTTGTGGTCAAACTGATACATCTACACATAGTCTCTGGGATATTGCTAAATGGAAGAATGAACAATCAACCCCACTTCAGGCTCAATTATAACAAAATATCCAGGTACTCAATCAGACTAATACTCAGCTTATACAGGCCCAGAAAGATCTTACTCACATTCACCAGGATTATCTTCAGCTTAATGTTGCTCACACTCGGCTCAAAAATACCCATAATCTGTTTGTAAACATCTGGACTCAGTTTAACTTGTTCATTTTATTTGGACCAAACATCAACTTACCCTGGACCATAACTTCCAGACTGGACAATTACAAATATTCCAACAAAAATACACCCAAATGGAAAAGAAAAACCAAAAATATTGATGTTATTTGACTGGAAATTTCCCAATTGAAGCCTTGATATCCTTATTAAAACAGTATGGCAGGAGTTTCAGTAACAGTACCTAATTTTTCAGGAGATCTTGATGAAGATATTAATACTTTTATCAAGCAATTCAAAGGATTTCTAAATAATATTAATATTGATGTAACAAATGTAGCAGCAAGAATTCTCTGAAGTTGTTTGAATAAATCTGCTGGTGATTGGTATGATGAAAATATTTTTTGTAAAAATCAGATGCTAACTAATATATATGATAATCATGATACAAATACTTTAGCAAATCTTCAAGCACATACCATGGTACAGATGATTGTCACCAACAGTTTTAGACCACACCCCTCAGCACATGCCTATGCAAATATTGGAACCAATAAAGCAGTTACAGTAAGAGCTGCAGAGACCAGAAAACTTACACCTTGAACTTTATGTAAGACTGGTCTAATTCTGGTGGAGAACCTACAGATGAGGCACCTAGATTAAATGTGCTAATGGCAATATTCCTATAATATTACCTGGAATTCATATTGGTCAAGCTATTTACTACCTTAAAAACCTCTATCCTACAATATTAGAAGAGAGACACTAAGTAGAATTTGGTACTCTTGACCAGGGTAATGAACCAGTTAAAATTTTCTATGTAAAAGTAAGAAGATATGTTAAGTTACTAAATTTTGGTGATGAAGTAAATAACCATCAATTATTTAGGGAATTATCACCAGACAACCAGCTTAAAGTGTAATGAATTAATGCTGAGAAATCTTTATCAAAGTTAGTTAAAACTCTGGAGAAGGTTGAGAAGCACAAATCTGAAATGAAATTCAGCTTATTAAAAAGAACTGGATCTATTGACTATCAAGCCTAAATACAGCCTACATAAACCAATTCCTCCCAGGTTTTCACAGGAAGATGTAAATAGAATGATTAAGGATGCTATTTAAAAAGTTACACAAAATCAGATTCAGCAATGCTCCAGAAAAATTCATGTTAATCTTCCTTCTGGTCTCCCAGACACTTATAAAATTAAAAAGAACTTTGTTTTTAAAAAAAGGAAAGCTAATTAGTTTCTTTCTGATTTCGATTGTAAATTGGTTACATAAAATTTACAGTGAATCCTCCATAAGTGCACCCTCTATAAATGCACACCCTCCATACTCTGCACTGCACGGTCTTCTTCCATCCCCGTCCATACAAATCACCCTCTCTAAATGCACGCCCGTGACTTTCACGTGATCAATTTGTAAATAAATTCGTGTTACATTAATTAATTACCTAATCAAATACCAATTGAAGAATTCTTAAGTAATCCAGAAGAGAAAATAATTTATGAAGTTTCTGAAATGATAAAATTATTGAAGAACTTGTTGAAATATATAAAAAACAACCAGAAGCACCTGCTGATATTAATGAAGAAGATGATAGTGCTGAGCCAGTAATAATAAGTGCGAATGAAGCTTCAAAAGGCTTGGAAATTGTCTATGCTTTTTTACTGCAACAAGAAAATTCTAAAGAACAATTGAAACAAGTTAATGCCCTTGAGCGATACATTAATGTTATTATTCACTTGAAAGAATATACAATATGGATGAAACAGGTCTTCTTTTACAGATTAGAGCCAGACAGATCATTGGCCACACAGAGACTTTCTGGCCGTAAAAAAAAAATAAAGGCTTGTGTGCAAATGCTGATGGATCTCGTAAATTATAATTGGAAACCACGATGCTTTACTAATATTAATCTTAAAAACTTATTAATGACATATCGTAATAATAAAAAGGCTTGGATGTTGACTACTATTTTTCAAGACCGACTCCAAGAATTTGATAAAGTAGTTGCTAAAAAATATAGAGACCAGCAGGGTATTACTGCTCTTTGATAATAGCCCAAGCCACAAGACATATGGTTTAGTTTTTTCGAACGTTGATGTTCATTTTCTCCATCCCCAAATACCACTTCAAAAATCTAACCAATGGATGCTGGGGTTATCATAATTTGCATATTAAATGGATCCTAGATCAAGTTCAAGAAGGAAAATGATACAAAAGATTTAAAAGCGGATGTATTGCGGGATATGCTGTATTTTTAAAAGTTGGAAGAAATCACACCTTCCACCATCCATAATTGTTGGAGTCATACTAAAAATCTCCTGGATACCATGAATGTTGAATTATCGAGCCTCTTTAGCAAGCGCCAACATTAAATGAACTTACTCAGATGCTTACAACTCTAAACCTATCTAATCAAATGCAAATTGAAGAATTTTAAATGATCCAGAAGAAGAGTCAATTTATGAAGAACTTGTTGAAATATATAAAAAACAACCAAAATTACCTGCTGATAATGAAGATGATGATAGCAAGAAAGTTCCTAAAACAAGTTAATGCAGTTTATTGATATATTAAATTTAAAAAAAAAAAAATTCAATCAATTTTACAATAAATTTTTTATTAGTGTCACGTGTAACCAATAAAATTCTTCTCAGGGTTCATTGTATAACCATGGTTACTATGAATAAATGAATAAAATGAAATTTAGTTAATACTTTATTATTATGATCTTGATAAAACTCCATATATCGCGGAATTTTTTTTAAAAAAAGGGTGCATGTGATACATTCGACCATTACAAATCTTGGTTAACGCCGATCATTTGAATCAAACAGTTGTTTGCCCTTTTTAAAAAAAGAATATAATAATGACGTTGTATTATGTTTTAGTTTTCGTTTTGCTTATTCTAGAGGTAATTTAACTAGTATTGATTGATATTAATATTATATTTTCATTATTACCAAGGGAGAAAATATTAACATATCTCTCTGAATATTTAGGCAGTATCATTCGTAGTGTTAATTGTAAGTATACATTATTTTTTAATTTTTTACATACATTCATGCATATATTCATTTTTTATTCATAAAATTTTTACC